ACTTGCATGGAGTCTTTATCCAACAGTAGCTTCTACACCTCGATGCTACTTGCATGGAATCTTTTTCCAACAGTGGCTTCTACACCTTGATGCTGTATTTGCATGGAGTCTTTATCCAACAGTGGCTTCTCCACCTATATGCTGTACTTGCATGGAGTCTTTATCCAACAGTGGCTTCTACACCTAGATGCTGTACTTGCATGGAGTCTTTATCCAACAGTAGCTTCTACACCTAGATGCTGTACTTGCATGGAATCTTTATCCAACAGTGGCTTCTACACCTCAATGCTGTACTTGCATGGAGTCTTTATCCAACAGTGGTTTCTACACCTCAGATGCTGTACTTGCATGGAGTCTTTATCCAACAGTGGCTTCTACACCTAGATGCTGTACTTGCATGGAGTCTTTATCCAACAGTGGCTTCTACACCTAGATGCTGTACTTGCATGGAATCTTTATCCATCAGTGGTTTCTCCATCTAGATGCTGTACTTGCATGGAATCTTTATCCATCAGTGGTTTCTCCACCTAGATGCTGTACTTGCATGGAATCTTTATCCATCAGTGGTTTCTCCACCTAGATGCTGTACTTGCATGGAATCTTTATCCATCAGTGGTTTCTCCACCTAGATGCTGTTGCCCTTTAAAGTTTGAGATTAAACTTCATTCATTCTGATCAACTATCAAATAAGCAACATTTTCTAACTGTTTGCTGTATTTAGTGATTTCAGTTATACAATTACAGATGCAAGAAACCTTGACTTTCAGGTTTCTGCCAGTTTTTCTCTCTTGAAATTCAGTGAAAATACAACAATTTTTAGATTAAAGTTGTTTGATGATTCCTGCTATATAAAATGACATGTTGTTGGTTAAATCATGAAACTCCATCTAGTGACTTTCTAACATATTGAATAAATCATGAAACTCCATCTAGTGACTTTCTAACATATTGAATAAATCATGAAACTCCATCATAGTGAGTTTTTTAACATGTTGTTGGTTAAATCATGAAACTCCATCTAGTGACTTTCTAACATGTTGTTGGTTAAATCATGAAACTCCATCTAGTGACTTTCTAACATGTTGATTAAATCATGAAACTCCATCATAGTGAGTTTTTTAACATGTTGTTGGTTAAATCATGAAACTCCATCTAGTGACTTTCTAACATGTTGTTGGTTAAATCATGAAACTCCATCTAGTGACTTTCTAACATGTTGATTAAAT